TTCTCTCGCACATATCTTGGATTAAGTCACTAATGTAAAAAGCTATAGGGATAAAATAAATAAACACACATAGTATTTCCCAATCCCAACACAAAGACCTCAATAAGTTGCTTTGTTCCCTATCACATGTTGCCAAAATAAACACCTTTTAACTCCAGTCAGCCACTTCAACTGCACAACAGCAGGAAGGGAGAATGTATTACAAATGTCCCATGAGAAGGCAGTTTAAGGTTTGCCTCTTCCCACACCTCGTTCCCTTTCATGATCTATTAATGTCTGTCTGCTCAGATATAACAATGCAAACTTTATGGAACTGTGCTATAAACTAGATCAGCAGAGCAATCTGAGTTACACTGTAGTGCAAGTTTTCTTGCTTAAAAAAAGTCTGTTACAGATTACTTTGGACAAATGGATTTACAGTGCAGCCTAACAGTTATGGTGACATAAGAGTGATGAACTCCAACAGTTACCTCCTGCAAATCCAATTTTATAATGGATTAATGCTGTGAGATAACAGAAAATATCACTGATGAAGGAGAAGAATGAAAAGCAAGAGAAGAGAATACTGCCATTCAATCACAGATTCCATTTTTCTTCTTCAAGGAAACTAAAGATCTGAAAGAAACTTAATTGTTCTATCAACTCGGAACTTCAGCACCATTTGCTCAAAAGATGTGTAGATTAGGTAGAGAATATAATTTCCAAAACAGCACGCACCAAAAAAACCCCAAAACAAACAAAGACAAAACCCCAAAAACAAACAAACAAAAACTCACAAAAAAAAGGAAAAAAAAAAGCCAACCCTCCCCCCCCAAAACCAACCAAACAAAAAACCCAACGAAAACAAAAAACCAAACAAATGAACATCCCCACCAAACCAGAACAACCTCTATCAAAAGTAAGCAGAAACTTTTTAACTTTTGTTGCATGGCAGACCCACAATGAAAGAGATGCACCCAGACAGAATCACCCACCCTGAGAAAACACCCATCTCATGATAAAGATATGGCCAAGAGAAGACAGTGGGCTGAAATCACATTAAGGCACTGGTAACTAACAGCAATGCCAGAGAGGAGATACATAGAGGTGGGTTTTCTTTCTCCTGTCCTCTACAGGTCTTCATCTCATATAGGCCAGCACACCTTGGCTAAACTACAATTCAAAAAAGTGTTAGGAAGATCTGGTCATGGTAATTAATTATGAGTACCCAGACTGCTTTATGACAAGTGTTAAGATGTAGTGGACACCGCACAAGCTTTTCTCAGCAAGCTCAAGGTTCAAGATGGTGACAGTCAAGAGACAGCAAGCACAAAAATAATTACAGCTTAGCAAACCGAAATAAGTATAGAATAGCACAAACCCCTAAAGAAAAAAAAGGATGATGACACTGTTGTAACACCAAAAAGGAAAAACACACAAACAGGAACTCTGGTTGTAGTGATAAAGAACAAGGGCAGATCACAGAAGATACTACACCAGGGGAAGTGGAAGAACTTCATGCAAACATGGAATAAGACCAAAATGGAAACAAGAAATTAACTGGAAAGAATATACCCGTTCTAACTGCCTCAGCATATCCCCATATTCATTTAAGAGCTCAACTTGATGATCCTTGTGGGTTTCTTCCAACTCAAAATATTCTGTGATATCATAACTGCCCAGGGAAAATAAGACATCATGTGGTAGAGGATTACACACAGTATTGAAAAGAGCAGAGGTCAAGGAGAGTAAGAAAGAAGGGGAATCCTTTCAACTGGGGCAGAAGAAGAAGTTTGTAGAACCATTACTGAAGACAATTTCAGCACGACACAGAATATGGATTGGAAATAATTTAGTATGAAGAGACAGGACAAACATACATCCTTCCATTCAGGAGTTTGGAAAAGAAGGGAAGCAGACTGGCGCTGACTGTCAGCTAAGGACTGATAATAGTAACTCAGACTAAAATTAGGAAAGCAATAAGATGGCAGCAAGAGGTAAAACCCAGTAATTTGGAATTAAAACAGGAAGATTGAATGACTGGGGCTTCGGGATCAGACTAAGCAGTTAAAAACGAGAAAAAGCACAAGGCAAACATGCAAATCCATCTCTGTAAGCAGCAATCAATAGTGCTGAGCAAAGGTAAACAAGTCAATTCTAATCAGTTTTTCTCTGGAAACCTTTAGATGCTGCAGGGGAAGAGATACAGGAAAAAGCCTAAGGCATTGCTTTAGATGGCCTGCAAAGCAAAGGAACTGGGAAACGTATTCAGCAGCGAAAATGGATAATTAAATATGAAATAAGAGTCAGGAAGAAGACAACAAAGAAATCTACCCAGTTCAACTATCAGTCACAGGTAGGTGCATTATCATAAATAAGAGGAGGAGGTGGCAGTCATGAGAAAGGGACTTGGAGGTGCAGTACTCAGATAAGATGGCTGGCAGAATCAAAACTGAAGTAATCATTTCTCTCAGAAACAGAAATGGGGATTAGCAGATGAAAATCAAATAGGCTACAGAGCTGAAGAATGAAGTTAATGAGAAACCAACTTGAAAAACAAAGTCATAAGGAATGAGGGAGAGACATCCACAGCAATAGGAGAGACTATGTCAAAGACTAACATGCAGCTATAAAGGGAGAAGCAAAAAGTAAGTGAGGCAATATGAAGGAATGTCTGATGGACCACTGCCCAGGAAAAACGGAAGAGGGGAAAGTACAAAGACAGTGGTAGACAAGGAACATAACATTTATTTTTAATGATAAAAGGGAGGATAAGACAGACATTAGGATCTAATGTAATGCTGTACTGTAGGTTGCAAGGTTTCTGCAATCCGTATACCAGACAAACTGCTGACAAAATATTCAGCAACTAGCCCTTGATTTGGATTTCCTGAGGAGATTCAACATTGCTCATGGCTGGGGTGTTAAATAAACAACCATTCTTTATATTTCAGTTATATATATGGGATACAAAGCTCAATTACTGTACCATATTCTGCCACACATGAGGAAAGCAAATGAAAAGTTCAATAGTGCACTATTAACATCACACACCATGACAGTGGAACACAAGTGTCACTGAAAAACAAAATCAATCAGTTGAAACCCGTGAACAAGCCAGATATGTAAACCAACTTATCTTCTACTTCTTATTTCCATCTAATGTTACCCACAAATAAACCTGCATTTTCATTTAAGAAAAGAACAGTGAACAGCAATTTAAACTCATAAAGAAGATCTAGAAAGGGCCTACTAATCACTTCAGAAAAGCAATTTGGATAGGAATCACAGAAAATAAGGTTGGAAAAGACTTCAAAACATTACTTCAAAATATCAACTTCACTCTCAGTGCTCCAAGTCTGTATCAGCTTTCCTTAAGCCACTCCTGACAGATGTTTATCTAAAGTATTTTTTTTTTAGCAAACCTCAAGCAATACAGACTCCACAATACCCCCTGGCAGTCTGCTGCAGTGACCAAACAACTTCAAAAATCTTTCCCTAACATTTAGCATATATCTCATTCTCTCAATTCAAACCATTTCTTCACGCACCATAAAGCTGATTGCCTTCCTCTTTGCAGCAAATCTGCTGCACAGAAAGAATGTTCCCTATTGCAACTGGACAGCTCTCTGCAGTGTTCTGCATTGGAAGGACAGAGCCCTTATATAAAAAAAAAAAAGTCTGCCCGAACGGATGAGCTACAAAAACTCATCTCTGTGATGAGTCATCTGGGACAGCAGAGACGGACTTTCCCACATAAGCAGTCTGCTGGAAGCTGGATTCAGCCACCGTAAGTGACACAGCCAAAGGAAGCTAACATTTACAAGCGAGCAAAGCACAGCCAAGGCATCATCAGTCGTGATCGCTCGTCCTACAGCCTTCAGAAAGGAGCCAAGCAAAAACAACACCACAGCCCTGGCCGTGTTGTTCAAAGGGAAAGTTAAAACGGGAAGCAGAGCCGCAAACTGGAGTGTTGGGTGGAGCTCCCAATTGTGCCTTGCCTGGCAGCACCACTCCGGGGGAAAAAAAGGAGTCAGTAAGGGCAAAGCAGAGCGAGGGGGGAGGGGGAAGAAGGAAAAAACGACCTCGGAAACAAGAGATATGCGTGGAACCAATCACACATAGGGAAAAGGATGTAGGGAGGCACCTGAAACCTTGGCCATAGAGTGGAGAAGGGGGCTGGGATTAGGACTGCCTCCCTTTCCAGGGGCAGTGGACTTGAGCGAGGCCCTGGGCACGAAACTGCCTCTCTGGGGGGGGAGTGAGGCAGTAGGGACCCCAAAGAACATGCTGCAGGGAAGGGCAGGGCGTGTAGAGCTATCTAGGGAGGTGTGTTTGAGGCATGGCAGAGGGGAGGAGGCGGTGAGGACGCCAGGACAGTGGTGCAAGGCACTACGACGGTGGCAGGTGAGAACTGGAGGTATGCAGCTGCAGCCATGGCAGGGGACGGGAGCAGGGTATGGCAAAGATCGCAAAGCTGTGGCAGGGCTGGGGGAAGAAGGGGCAGGATGATGCTGATCCGCAGGGGAAGCAGCACACAGAGCAGCGCGCAGAGGGTGGAAGTGCGCAGCACGATAGGATCAAGGCTATGTGGGGGGGTGGGTGAACAAGAGGGTGCAGAGGGTCGTTCCCAGCCACGAAAGAGCAAGGGGAGAGCAAAGGGGGGAGGTTACAGCCACGGGAGAGCAGAGCTGTCGGTGGGGTGCGAGTCGGGGAGGGAAAAGCAAAGGGTTCCCGGTCTTTGGAGCGCATGGTTACAGGTCGGGATGCAGCGAGTGCGCAGCCAGGGGAGAACGGCGCTACAGGTGTAGCAGGGGATGCGCTGCCACAGGAGAGCGGGAGGCAGCGAGGCGGTGCGCAGCCACGGGGAAGCCGGGCTAACAGGGGTACGGGGGGATGCACGGCCGGCACAGAGCGGGGGGGGAACGAGGGGCTGCGCAGCCACAGGACAGCGCCAGGAGCGGCCCCGGGGCGGGGGTGCGGAGGAGGGCAGGGGAAGGGAGGGGGGCCGGGCCGCTCACCTGCGCGGCGGAGCTGCAGCAGCCCATGGCGTCCGCGGGTCTGTGCCCCGGCGGTGCCCGCCGGGCATCCACTCGCCGCGACTCCCCCCGCCCCCGGGGGCGGCGGCGCGGTGCGAGGCCGGCACGGAGGGAGCGCCGGGCCCGCTCAGGCGAGCGCGGCTGCAGCACAAGCAGCACAAGCACCAACACAAGCGCCGCCGCGGCGCCCCCTCATCCTCTTCCTCCTCCTTCTCCTCCTCCCCCTCAGCCCGCGGCGGCTCCGGGAGAGGCGGGGCCTGCGGGGGGCGGGGCCTGCGGGGGGCGGGGCCGGGCACTGCGGCGCGGGGGGTCCCGGCCCGCCCGCTGGCCCCGCCCCCCGGTTCGCGCCGCCGCTTCCGGTGCCGCCATGTCTCCGTGCCGGGTCGGCTCCCGGCCCGCGGGGGGCCGAGGGCTGCGGGACGTCGAGGGTTGGCGTCCGGGGCCGTGCTCAACCCTTGAGCTCACCCTCGGCCCCCCGCGGGACAGCGGCGCTGCCCGGTGAAGGCGTGCTCTGCGCAGCTTGAGGCCACCTCTTGATACCTGGGGATGAGACCGACCCCCCACACACCTGGTTACAGCCCCCTCTCAGGTGGTTGTAGAGGGCGATGAGGTCACCCCTGAGCTTCCTTTTTCCCCAGGATAAACACCCTTAGCTCCCTCAGCTGCTCCTCGTAGGATTTGTGCTCCAGACCCTTCACCAATTCCATTGCCCTTCTCTGGAAACGCTCCAGCACCTCATTGTTTTCCTGAACTGAGGGGCCCACAACTGGACAGCTGCAGCTTTACCAGTGCTGAGTACAGCGGAACGATCACTTCCCTGGTTCTGCTGGCCACACTGTTGCTGACACAAGCCAGGATGCCATTGGCCTCCTCGGTCATCCTGGCCCATGTTCAGCCAGCTGTTGCCCTTCTCTGCTGGGCAGCTTTCCAGCCCCTCTGCCCCCAGCCTGTAGTGCTGTGTGGGGTTGTTATGACCCAAGGACCTGGCACTTGGCCTTGTTGAACCTCATACCCTTGGCCTTGGCCCATTGATCCAGCCTATCCAGATCCCTCTGCAGAGCCTTCCTACCCTCAGCATGTCAATGTTCCCACTCAACTTGGTGTCATCTGCGAACTGGCTGAAGAGGCACTCAGTCCCCTCATCCAAGTCATTAATAAATATATTACACAGGCCTTGCCCAAATACTGAGCCCCGGGGAACACCACTAGTGACCAACTGCCAAGCTGAGGTAGCACCATTCACCACCCTTCTCTGAGCTCTGCCATCCATCCAATTTACTACCCAGAGAACGGTGCACAAATCCAAGCCATGAGCAGCCAGTTTCCCCAGGAGAATACTGTGGGAGACAGAACCAAAGGTTTTGCTGAGGTCCAGGTAGATCCACAGTTTTTCCCTCATGCACTAAGTGGATCACTTTGTCATAGAAGAAGATTGGGTTGATCAATCTGAATCTGCCCTCTCAAAACCCATGCTGACCGGGTCTGATCCCCTGATTGTTCTGCACGTGCTGTGTGATCACACTTAAGATGACCTGTTCCATAACCTTCCCTGGCACTGAGGTCAGGCTGATAGGCCTGTAGTTTCCCAGATCCTCCATCCTGTCCTTCTTCTAGATAGGTGTTGCATTGGCTAACCTCAGTCCTTCTTAAGGTATGTTTACTGGCCCAGCAGCTCTGTTTGAACATGGCCTAAATGTGTGAAGCAACACTCTAAGTTCTCAGTAGCAGAATTATTCTATCGATATAGTAGAATATCCATGATTAAAAATAACATCGTAATGATTTAAGTTTAAAATGATCCTTAAGCAGAATGAGGCAAAAGAGACCTTGTGACTAGAGAAGGAGTTTTGTAGGCTTCCAAAATAAAACAGAAACTGTCATGTGGGTGAGTTGTGAATCATGCTGGGTTTTTTTAGCTCTTCTCAGTTTAATGGCAAGTAGAATCACAGAGCCATTTAGGTTTGAAAAGACTTCTGAGATCATCGAGTTCAACCATAACCCCAGCACTGCCAAGTGTACCACTAAACCACATCCTTAAGTGCCACATCTACATATCTTTTAAATACCTCCAAGGTTGATGACTCATCAGTAACATCACAATTTTCACATTTTCTAATAAAAAAATTAGAAAAAAAGGTTAAAATACCCTTTTGCCATTTACATGTACATTGCCATTATATTCCATTGTTCCATCTCATTCTATTCAAATAATTCTGTGGTATTCCAGAAGGTGTGGCCATCAAGGTACTGCTTTGCAGGAACACTCTGGAAGGGATGTGTCTTTTGTGATTGACACAGAAATAGATAACAAGAAATCTGTAGTCAGTTCTTGTGTAACTTTGGACATGTCACTTCTGTATCTCTGTTCCTCCATTTTGCCATTTATAAAATTGACTTTTTTCCCAGTGTTTGTCTTTTCCGTTTGCTTGGGTAACAAAAGCATGATGACTATGCCATAGATGTCCTTTAGTCAGTCTGTTAAATAGACCAAATTCAATTTTTTAAAATAGTCCATTCATTTAGGACTTTCACTTCAATAGCTTCATTTAGGACCTCAGAGTGTCATCCTGGTAATTAAATACTGTCTCTTTTTTGGATGTAGAATAAACACGTACAGCATGATTATCAGAAGATAGAAGAAGACAGTCCTGCAGAGACTTGTAAACCCTTAAAAAAAAAATCCTAGCCAATAATCAACAGCTTTTTGCAGCTGCAGAGGGGTAATGGTATCTTTATAGTGATTAAAAAATGCCAGGTCTTCATTGTTCGGGGGAGCCTTTATGGAAAAGCTTGTAAAGACATACCAGCTGTAGCACAGGTAACTGGAGTTTCGTGTAAGTATATGACAACTGTAGAAAGTATTTGAACAAATATCGATGTTAGAAATAATCACTGGAATCTCTGCCTCTGGACTGAGGAAACTAGTTAGTTTTTGATAGGGGTGTGGTAGCAGCAGCAGTGGTAGTTACCTGGCTTTCATTAGTTTTATTGTGCTTTGTTTGGCCGGTCACACAAAGGAGAGGAAAAGTTAAAAGATTCTGGCTTATTCATGATGGTGCGTGCTTTTATATTTATTTAGATTAGCATTTAATGAAGCAACTGAAATGAGAATTGCTGAATCTTAGTTCAGTAATGCAGAAGTTGAACTTTAAGCATATGCCTAAGTGTACTTCTTGAATTGTGCTTTATGGATTCCTTTCTGATGGTGAATGTAATCTGCTCTAAGGCACGGTTACATCACAAGCTGCTAAAGAGCAAATCTGACTGCACAAATTTGCCATTAATAAGAAACTAGCTTTTTTTCCATAGCAGATTTGAGTCTACCCTTCTCTCCTCGCCTAGAAGGATGAGCTTTATCTATATTTTCATTTCATTGCTAGACTGAGAATGACACGTTGTAGTTTTTGAAGCACCATTTGGTAGTGAGAGAGACAACAACAGAGAGAAGGCCCTAGAATGACAAAAAATGCCTTTAGTACTTGAAAATTGTAGGTTGTGTCCAGACTGCTTCCATTCTGGGAAGAAAGCATGAATTGTATGGTAATATTTACCTTTTCTTTTCTCACTAGGTGTAGGATCCTGATCTTATCCATCCATATTTAAACACCTAAAGACTTTACAGAGTACAAAACAATCTATATCTGTTGTTCTGTATTAATGAAAGAAATACCTTTAAAATAGCATTAAAAAAAATTCAGTCTATTTGGATATGTTTTAAAGCATAAGTTTTGGTGTGTCATTTTGAAACAGTGCTCAGTCCAAAGTTGGCCTTGCTGTTAATGAAATGGGAAGAGATGCATTGTGCAGACTTAAAATTGAGTATTGCACCAGCAAGGCATTGTTACATGTGTTTGCCTCCTTTTTCTAATCGACAAAATCTGCTTATTATCATTCTGCTGACTTCTTCCACCTACCAATAAATCTGCATCTATCTGTGCTTGGCAAGCACTCTGCATCTTTAAAAATCTCATTCTGGGTGCTTATCTTCAATATTCCTAGAGTTGGTTTTGTTTGGTTTTGTTTGTTTTGTTGTTGTTGTTGCTGTTGTTGTTTTGTTTTCATTTTTCAAATTTATTTAAGTACAGAGCCACACATATTCCCTCCATAATATGTCGGGTGAACAGACTGTTAACTTTCATACACATGTATCAATGCAGGATTAAGAGTGATCCTGCTGATTTCAGCAGAATACTAACAAAAGTGCATCATGAGAAGGCATTCCAGCAAACAAATGGCAAATAGGATGTCAGCCCGTCTCTATGAGTGATATGGGGATAAAGCCCACTGAACTATTCAGAGCCCTGTGGTCTCAGAACCCGTGTGAAGCCAATCATCTTTCTCAAAAGTTAAACCATGCCGTTGCACTTTTTTAAGTGCTGTGGAAGTACAGCATGGATGCTTGTGTCAAGTCACACAGGACACCAGTCACAAGGCAGAGAACCGAAGCCGTATGTTACAAACTCCAGCTTGTGTACTGACCATCCTGTCAGTTGTGAATTTTAGACAGTCGAGGTAAAAACATTCAAGGGATCCTGCTTTACCATTAGAATGGCAGGATTCTTGCAGACTTTTTCATCGCTGACTGAGAAAAGATGCACAGCGCTCAGTAAGTCTAAGCTCTCACAAATTAAAGCTAAGATTTTCTTCTTGCTACATGTCTGACCACAGAAGAACAGGTTAATTCAGTAAGCTTACTGAGAAAGTCAGAAAACCTGTTGTGATTCTACTTTGTGCCGCAACCCCATAAGTGGGTCATGTTAGGTCTGTTTCAATTTGAAACCTGGAGACTCCAAGGAAAGAGAAAGAGCAGAGAGCTTTTTGAATTAATAAAGAGGGTGAAATTTTCTTTCCCCAGTGCTCAGTCAAAATTTTGGTGCATTGTACTCTTAGAGATGTAACCTTCTGGTGAGAGGATAGAGGTGTACAGTGGAGGTCCTGTCTCTGGGACATATCAAAAATATTCAGGACTCATTAGAAGAATAAAGTGTTGGTGTGTTGGCAAAATGGCTTTCTAAACATTTAGTTTAGGTACTGCTTTGTACCTACAGTAGTCCATTCATGCCATACTGAAAGTTATGAATATTCTTTGTATATTAAAACATGTTGCTTTGCACTATTTAATACCTGTTGAATTTCATTCTGATGTCAGATCACCTGTGCATGAAGAACTAACTGCATGAGTAGCCTATTGCATGCAGGCGAAACACCTGTCACATATTTAC